AGCTGGTTTTACTTTCAGTGGGTTTCTTAGTATCTTATTTGAAACAATCTTCCTACCTTTGGGCAGGCTTCTGTCTCATCTTTCAGATCACAGTACTTGCTCTGAGCTGCGTTCTCTCTCATCAAACATTGAATAATCCCTTTTGGGGCACATTTTCTAATTAAATCATTCCTTTGCTCAGCAGCTCTGCTGAAAGCTTAACTCTGTAGCCATCATTCATCAAAACTGTCCAGGGCCCAACTGAGGGAGGTTAGTGAACTGGATCTTTGGTAGCTCTGCCTGCCTCTCTGGAACATCCAGTTTATGTTTTTTCCTCCCCAAATAATAAGAAAACCCTCTGGCCTTTCTACATATGAGAGTAAGTGACACAAGAGTGACTGCTGTCAGACTTTTCTGTGCTTAGAGTAATACTACTTCAACTATGTCTTAATACAGTTAGTGCAGCGCTTCCACCTGTCCCACCCCTCAACACAGTCAATCTCCACAAGGGCATCACACTAGCGTAACAGCATGTACCCATGTGCATATCAGGACAGCTATTTTTGTAAGGGCACAAAAATAAAATTTAACTAACGATACCTTCACTTTATTACTGCCTTTGTTGGACTATAGGCTTTATTTAAAACAAACAAAAAATAACCTTATTGACCCTACAAACTCTTCAAAGCAGCCCTGTGCCTGCTGGTGGCCTAAACCAGAACTTCCTCTCTCATTGAAATGAGAGGTCACCGTAAAACTTCATAGTGCTGTCATTGGAAATCAGTGCTTGGATTAGCAACAACCACGTAACTGAGCAGAATTTACCCCCTATACAGTCATGAAGTTACAGACTTGCTGCTTGCTTTGCAGAACACATCAGAGGAGCATCACCACTTGATGGATCACAGCTTTTACGTGCCTACCTCACATGCTTGGTCCAGGCAAAGGGCATACAGGCTTTTACAGCTAGAAGAGAGAGGTAGCAATGAAATTCCACCAAGTCAAAGTGACCTCAGGTCCACCCCCACTGCTGAGGGCTGCCAGAGCAGTGCGATACCTGTCTTCGCTAGGCTGGGCACAAAGGAAAGATATAAGGCCTGGAAGAGCTCCATTTCCTTATTCAGGAAATTCAGAGTCCACACAAAGAACTTAAATCTCACCTCCCTAAGCCTTCTTGGGGCTTCCTAACCAAATTTCTCTTGCTAATGCACATTTTTCCTCTCCTTTAACTTTCCTGTTTGACTTCACAATCAGATCAAAAATCAGAGCCATTACCCAAAGTGCAATTGTAGTGTTATTTTCCATCATCTTCTTGTGTATATCCTTCTAAAGAGAAAGGTTCTTAAATACTCAAATTTGGGCCTACTATAAACATCTGTCACTTCTTTATCAGAACACTTACTTTTTCAAGAGTGACTTGAATGGATCCCCATAGAAGTCTTCAGCTTCTTCTCTAGAAGAGCCTTCAAAGAATAGTTTTTGTGACCTTATCCAAGGTTTGGTTAAGAATTTATTTCTCTCTTTTGGGTAGTTTATGGAGTTGTTTTTTTGGGAGGTTTACCCTCAGACTGATGTAGAGTATAGCCATACCTCAGTCCCTTTGAGATCTAGAAGTGTATATTGATTATAAACCCTTTCTTGTCTTCACGTGCACCATATCCCATGACCTCTGGTAGTAGTGACTACCATTCAGAGACCAAGGGAAGACTGGTTTCCTTTACTTCCTTAGAAATATAGTAAGGAAGTGTTTCAGGGAAGAAAGTTTTCTTTTTCCTTCTACATGGAGGAAAGACAAGTTTTCAGCTACAGTAGCTCAATATCAATGCTAGTTTGGGGAAAAGTTATCCATATTTACAAGACCGCTCATGAAAAAAAAAAAAAATCCAGAGAAACTGATGAAAGCATTAATTTCTGAAGGTCAGCAAGTTATCAAAACAGTCCCCAGGGGCTGACTTTGACTTTTACACAATCTGCAGTAAGAACTCCTGCTTCTGCAATTTCCATTAAGCAGTCTGGTTTGGATTTCTAATCACCTGGACTTCTTCCAAAAATCAAAGTCAAAGTTGAGATCCTCTTTTTTTTTGAAGGAGAAAGTCTTTTCAGCACACCAAATAAGTTTTTGAACACATGAAGGACTGAATACGTAGACAGGTCTCAGAATTTAATCACAGTCCATGAGAAAACCAGACAAGTGACACCTATCAATGTCACAAATACCCTTTCTTCTACCCTCTACTAGAGCACGCCATCCAGAGCCTCCCTGCTGCTGCCACAAAGCTAAGTGTCCCAGACATTTTTAGGGGTTCAAATCTGAAAAGCTGCCCTTAGAAGTACCAGTCCTGATTTTACAAGGCACTGTTCATACCCATCTTCCTTCTCAATCTGCCATTTATATAATGACCTTTTAATTGGAGAGCCATGCAGTGCTTTTTTTCTATGGCACTATCCCTTGTTATCCCCCAAGACAAGAAATGCAGGAACCATCTGAACAAGAGAAGAATAACGTATTTTCAGTTTTTCCAAGGTGAACTCTAACTATTGTTACACCCTGCCTACACTCCCAGGCTCCTCAGAGTACCTTCACAGTGACTTCTAAGAGGCAATGCTATGGGGCTAGGTACAGGCACATGCAAGAACATACCACTGCTCCCCTTTTTCCCCCTTCAGTACTCTGGGCTGATATTCTTTCATCCTACCACTAGCATGCATTAGGCCCATTCACCTTTAGAAATTAACACACCACTCTCTAATGCCTATTCACTCATTCCTACTGCTGCTTTTGCTTCCAAGTTTGTCTTTACTAAAGGCTGAAGCAAGCTAGCACTAATCCTAGAAGAGCAATACCCTGGGTACTCAAGTCACATCTCTTGTGCAGTTGCCTCTTTTGGTTAGTGTTTGTAACTTAATAACCCCAGTCTTCCCTGTAACACTGACTTAGGAGCCATCTCCTCATCTGCTTACACATCCAACCTCCTCCTTTACAAATGGCTGGAATTATAACAGCAAACATCTGAGCTCCTGCCCTGTTCCCAAGCCTGGCAATGTCCTAGTAGGAAGGACAGCATTTCTCCAGTTCCCTCATTGCGTGTTCAGCCTTTTGACCTCAGATCCACCTGTCACTGCTGCTAGTAAGCAGCCTCCCAAGGTGAAAAGCAGCCTCTTCCTTGCACAGTTAAAAAGTGCCACTTTTGCCATCTTGTTCTTTTCACAGATCGGTGTCCTTCGCCATCCTCCCCATCTCATACCCATTCTTCTACCCAGACAACTATATAGACCCTTCCTCTATTTCCACAAGTTCTTTTCTTCTGCAGAATTCTGGTTTTGCTCCACTGAATGGTTTCTGCTTTCTCCTGGCAGTCATGTTTTTCCTGTGCATGTCAAGCCTTGAATTTTAAAAATACAGTCTGCATTTAGTTTGGGGTAAGATTCATCCCACTTAACTTTAGACACCTGAAGTTCAGCATCTAGCCTAAGACAGCTGCTTACCTGAGGTCCCCCTCACCTGCAGAGGGAGGAAGGACCTCCACAGAGCAATCCCACCCCCAAGATATTTTTCCAGAATACGTAGTATGACTCACATTGTGAAAGAGCCCCTGAGGGGAGTCTTGCTAGATGGAAATACCAGACCTGCTCCAAACTGTAATGTATCCTCATGGCCTCCTTCCAGCACACTTTCAAATCTGTCTCAATTCCACTGTCTTTAGCTTCATCCCGAGTCCTTCAACCTTCTCTTCCCTGAGGATCACCTGATATTTCAAAAATCAGAGGTTCTGTTGAATATCCCTTCAAAGAAGACACGCACCCCAAAGGCTCAAATCCCACCACCTTTGCTGTCCCCTCTTCTGGGAAATCTATAGCACTGCCTCAAGATAGAGGACTAGTACTGATATAGGTGCCATCATCGTCTCTTCTTTCTAGTCCTCAGACTACAGGAAGGAACGATGAAAGCCCTCCAAACTTCCTACACTGAACTCCCACACCACCTTCCTTATTTCTTCCAAGATCAGCGTCATGGCAACTAGCACATCTCATCTTGCCTTTGTAAGCTGATGAATTGGTTTAGAGGCACTCCATCACCAAGGCTCTTTATTTGCATTCCTCTAAAATAAGTTGTGTTGCTCCGAGAAGCCTGAAAGGTTTCAGCAAGTGCTGAATAAACTAAGTAGTTCATGTATAAATAATATATCAGCTATCACTACATTTTTAATGGATGCATCATGAACATATTTTTAGATGGCCTAGGTTAGTCAGAACAACTCTGGCATCAGCTTCCCACTCCCATATAAGCAATTCCAGTCTCACAGGTCTGTGTCCATCTAACAGACCTACTTGGACGTGGTCTTTTCAGTACTGTTAACAACACAGCTCTGCTGCTACACGAGTGGGAGACCACCCCACTCCACAGCCAGCCTGTTGGCCACAGTCGGATGACTTTGGGAAAAGGTGCAAGTTGGTACTCTTAGATGCAGGGAGGTTTAGATTGGATATCAGGAAGAAGTTCTTCCTGGAGAGGGTGGTGAGGCACTGGGACAGGTTGCCCAGAAATGTTGTGGATGCCCCATCCCTGGAAGTGTTCAAGGCCAGGCTGGAGGTGGCTTTGAGCAACCTGGTCTAGTGCAAGGTGTCCCTGCCCATGGCAGGGGGGTTGGAACTAGATGATCTTTAAGGTCCCTTCCAACCCAAACCATTGTATGATTCTATGCTTCCTCCAGCACTTACCCATCCATCTCTTCTTAAAAAGATGACGGATTAGAGGTGTCAGTGTAAATCAGATTACACGCTGATGACAGCTCCCACTTGTCCCATGAAACCAGGGGCACAACACAGGCCCTGCAGAGTGCTAGTCACTGGGGAGCCACGAAAGCCATCTGCTCAGGGAGCTGTCCCCTGTGAGGCAGGGGCCATGGTCACACGGGCTATGACTCTAGAAGGACAGTGATCGGAAGCTGCTGAGCACCAAGCAACTGACCCATCCCCTCTCTCTCTCCTTGAAGGCTTTCAGCTCTCGCCTCCCCACTTACTCCTCTTTCCGGTGAAGCTCCTCCTCGGACTCGGTGAGGCGCTGCTTCAAGGCTGCGATCATCTCCACCGCCACGTCCACCTGCCTGCTCAGGGCCCGCTCCCGCCGCTGCACCTCCTGCTTCTTCTGGGACAGCTGCACGAAAGCTGCCCGCACCTCCAGCAGCTCCGCCGTCTTCTGGGCCAGCTCTTTGGTAAGCCTGTCGATTCGCTTCTCGATCGTTTTGTCCACTGCCTCGACCATCCTGTTAAACTTTTCTCTGACGTGTGCCTCAAAGGAGGCTTTGGAGTCAGCGGCCGGGAGGCCAGGTTGAGGGATCTGCTCGCTGGGAGAGTCAGCCGGCACATAGTTTGCCACGTAGGAGACGGGCCGCTCGGCTTCCACCTCCAGAGGCTGCCCGCGCTTCCCGCTAACGCAGGAGGCATCGCAAAAATTCAGGTAGGAGCCTCTGTGCTCCGTGGGGCCGCCGGGGCTCCCCAGGCTGCCCTGGGCAACGGGCTCCGGCGGGGAGAGCAGCTCCGCGTCCTTCAGGGGCGAAAACAGGCTGCTCTTGGTCAGGAGGCTCCTCTCGTCGTAGCTGTGGCTGTACTCCAGGTGCGCCCGAAGCGAGGAGAGGCTCCGGAACCGGCTGCGGTCGCCGCATCGCGGGCAGCGGAAGGGG